GGGGGGGGGGCGTAAAAGGTGCCCGCGCCAACTTTGATGTCACATAGCGTCTGAATGGCTAGGGCTAGAATGACCAAACTTGGTGACTTTTCCTAAAATATTGTTGGCAACAATTTTCTATCATTGGAATAAGATAATAATTTTTTGTGTTGCCATGGCAACGGGTTTCTGACAGGCATTTTTTGCTAAATTTAGTACTTTTTGTTTCAAGAATAGAATTTTATGGGTTTTATGTCAAGTTACTCATGGTTTCTAATATTAATAACATCCCATATGAATTTATGTAAATTTTATCATTAAATATGCATAATTTTTGCTAATTTGACGACGTCATTGACCAAAATCCAAGATGGCAGACCATATCATTAGAACAGGTATATACAAGTTATTTTCCTTAAAATTTCATCAATACTTCCATTTCTTTTTCCAAAAAAAGTTTAAATGAAGGTCTTTGGTATGCTTACAAAGTATTTTAGGCTTTATCACGAAAAAAAACTATTTTTGAAAATTCAACATTGATGATCCAAGATGGCGGATATCTTAAATATGTATGACGTCATTTTATGACGTCACCGGTGTTGCTATGGGCAACATAAGACTTAGTACACTCTAATATTCTGTCATAAACACTTTTGGTAAAGTTATGTTGAATACCATTTAGTTTTCAGGGAATAGCCTATCTAGACGGTTTTGGCCAATAAAATCCCATTAATGACGTCATAATGACGTCATATTACGTCATAATGACATCAATATTGTAGATATGATAAATTTTAACTAGTACACCATCCTCTGAAAATTTGGTAGCCATACGACATACCGTTAGCGAGTTCTGAGGGGGGGGCGAAAGAGCCCCCCCCCCGGTCAAATCTTGCTCAAAAAAGCCCGGTCTAGATAGGGTTAACAGTCCATACTTTCAAAATTTATTTCAGAAAACCACCCCTGACTGTAAACAGATAGGCTAAAAACACCATAAACAGCTGTTTGTTTAACAATCTTTTGTACTTGTCTGCAAGATGTATGTGACAATACACATGGGACCGCAGTGCGGAAGGGACACCTAGTTGAAGTGCGTAGTATAAGAGATCGGTAGTTACCCCGAGGAAGGTCGGCTTGTAAAACTCTTTTGTTTGCGAATAAAGAACATTGTCATACAAACAGTGTTTATTCTAATTATACTGATTTTTAGAATACTTTACTTTAAAGATTTACAATATGCAGATCCTATATGTCAGCCGTGCTATTATATTGCTTACTTTGGTAGCTTTGATTCCTATTTACTGCCCTACCACTATGACGAGGGTTACTGCTCCTAGGGAAGAAATACTTTGAAAACTGAGTTTTCATTAAGAAGGCACTTACAGGCTGTACCGACCAGCACTAATCTGACTTCGCCCTCCCTGTCCGGGGCAATGTTGCGAACCTCGACCTCCATGTACTGCTGCACGCAATTCCCCTCATCTGAATTGACAAAAGCAAAAAACAACAACTTAAGTTCATGTTGTTGAAGAGATTTATTTGTCACATTTAGATACAGTTACTAGAGGCTGCGAGACTAGGCCACTCCGTGAACAAGATGGACTGATAGTCATCGAGAATTTGGAGGTAAGTAAAACTTATCACTGCTGAAAGAACCCTCTAGTAAAAGTTCATCTTGGTTAATAAGTTGCTTTCCAGTTCAAAAGAATTTCAGACTGAATGTCTCGATGATGTAGACACGTGATTTTTCACTGAGTCAAAGTTCGTCGGAAGTCGAATCAGGGGTAGGCAACTTTCTCTCAACCGGGACGGGGGACGGTACAGACCTGACCATGATTTTACGACATTTATTTTCAACTCGCCAACGTTCAAGCTGTAGATATGTTGACGTATTACACGGCGGTTTGTCACTACGGCATTCTTTCCCATTGCTAGGAGCGTTTGAAAAGGTATCGGGTTACAAGACGCTATTTTGGCCTGTTTTGGACTACCAGTAAAACACCAGAAAATAAACAAAAAGGATTTAATGTTAAATTTCGTCTAATTAAAATGAAATTATCGTCTTAACATCCTTTTAATATTAGTTGTTTACGTCAAATCATTGATTTCTAAAAATTTCTCTCCGAAAGACGATTATTTTCGGGTTTCCGACCACAAGTCATGTCATGTTTTTAGGCAAACATCGTTTAAACCTGGCTACGTGTATTACCCCAGATCCCCGATTTTTATATTTTTCGACGATTAAGATCAAAAATCCTGTTTTAGGGATTTTTTAATTTCTGATTTTAAGTATAGTTTTTGTCGACATATTGGTGAAAAAATTTCATATTTTTACATTTTTTGCACTTAATTACCCATAATTCAAAATTGAGGCCATTTTTTAAAAAATCCCTTAAACACGATTTTCGGGACAACCGTTACGGTCATTTTGAGCCGTGAATGGGGTATGTTTGACTCTTCATGCTTGCAGGTTAAATCGAGTTTTGCAGACATGTCATGTCGACCCAAAGTCTGCATTGTGTTATTCATACTGGTGTAAAGAATCATTACAGAATTCAAGGTCACCCAAGGATTTGATAGCGGACATGTACTGTCCAGAAAAGTGTTTGTATCTATAGAAAAGTGTTGTTTTTTATCTGTTGCAAGGCACGGAGGCAGAAAGGCTCCTTTTTCCGTTTTATTGTAAATGACCGCAGGTGACCCCGAAATGGAACGGGGTCGGCCCTATGTTACGACAGCCCTATGTTACGACAGCCCTATGTTACGACAGCCCTATGTTACGACAGCCCTATGTTACGACAGCCTTATGTTACGACAGCCCTATGTTACGACAGCCTTATGTTTTGACGCCCCTTTTTTCAACGCGATTATGGCTATGTTCAGACGCCAAATGATAAATTGTAAATTTATTGAGTGTAATGATCTCGAAGGAAATTTTCACGTAATATATTGCCACTGAAGAAAAAAAAACATCAGTACTTTTCTTGTAGGATGGTTAGTTTTATGGGAATATTTCAACTTTACGCTCTAACTTAATTGACCTTTTAAATTAGGTATGCGACATTAACACCCAGCCCGAGTGTAAAACATAAACAAAAATAAACAAACAACGCAGATCTAGTCGGGTAGGTAGGGTTCTCCATTGCTCGGTGATCGTTATAGATAAGCAAATAGTTTTCGTATTTGCCGAAACACCCGTGGATTGTAGTATTTTCAGGCGTGGTAAAGTTGGTCGGCCAGCGAAGCGTTCTTGGTATTAGTCCGCGGGCAAGGGTGATGCGGTTTTGTCGCCTGATGACCCAAATAGCTTCGTTCTATATATAATTTCAATGGATTTGCGTCACCGGAGATTGCGGAAAACTTATCACAACAACCTATACTTTTCGTTTTTTATAAGTCGTTACCCAGAGAAACTTCGTTCAATCAGGACGCCGTCCCTGCCTGTCCGACACCGTCCCAGCCCGGCCTTAGGCTCGCGAGATTTGACAAAAAAGCTCGAGATTTTTAGGCTAAATCTTGAGCTCTTTCAATTGTCAACGAGGCATAAAGAAAAGTTTTTTTTTCTATTAGAGTTTAGAGTTTCTATTCCCTGTTCCTGCGTTACATAAAATAAGGCTGTCGTAACATAGGGCTGTCGTAACATAGGGCTGTCGTAACATAGGGCTGTCGTAACATAGGGCTGTCGTAACATAGGGCTGTAGTAACATAGGGCTGTCGTAACATAGGGCTGTCGTAACATAGGGCTGTCGTAG